CTGCCAGCGCATGCCAAGTTTGAGCAGTTGAATTGCATGCCATCCCCCGGTGGCCCAGCACGAAGCTGGTTGCGCCCTCCCACCCGCACCTCCATGTCCCCCCGGCCCCCCTCATGCACCATTCTCCTCTATCTCCTCGTCCCACCCCCCTTTCCCACCCACAGGAGGAGCTGCCAGCACACGCCAAGTTCGAGCAGGAGTACGCCATCCCGTGGTGGGCCAGCACGAAGCTGGTGGTGGCGCGGCAGTTCAAGGTCGCCATGCGCAACACCTCCTTCCTCATCGCGCGCGGCATGCAGGTACTGCCATGCGCGCGTGTGTGTATGCATGTGAGTGTGTGAGATAGTGTGTGAGAGTGAGTGTGAGAGTGTGTGAGAGAGTGTGTGAGAGAGTGTGAGAGTGTGAGAGAGTGTGTGAAAGAGTGTGAGAGTGTGTGCTTGGTGGTTCAAGGTCACCACCCGCAGCACCTCCTTCCTCATCACGCGCGGCATGCAGGTAAGCAACCCAACGCCATGTGTAGTCAAGTTGCCATCGCGTGTGCAGCGCCATGCACTCCAAGCATCACTGTGTCTCGAGGTGCCTCAAAGCAGTATTCCCCTGCCCTTTCCCCGTTTCGCCCTTCCCCAACCCCACCCCTCCTCCCCAAACTCTCCCCCCCCCCACCCCCCCACCCACCTCCCCTCAGGTGCTGATCCTGGGCATATTCACGGGCACTGTGTTCTTCCGCATCCCCAACACCATCTCCACGCCCACCATGCAGCTGCGCCTCTCCATCGCCTTCGCCGCCACCATGGCGCTCGCGCTGGGGAGCTTTGCGCTCATCCCCAACATCATCGACGAGCGGCAGGTGGTGGAGAAGCAGATGGGTGCGCGGTTTTATCGATCGAGCTCCTATGTCATCGCCAGCACCATCTGCAACCTGCCGTTTTCGCTGGCTGAGGTGAGCGGGGAAGGCACGAAGGGCGGGTTGTGAAATCGGGGTTGGCAGGAGGAGGCTCATCCCCAACATCATCGACGAGCGGCAGGCGGTGGCGAAGCAGTTGGGCACACGGTTCTACCGCTTGAGCTCCTATGTCATCGCGAGCACCATCTGCAACCTGCCTTTCTCACTGGCTGAGGTGAGTCGAGGAGGGAGAAGGAGGAGAAAGGGGGCATCAGAGATGTTTGAGTTGACTTGTGTGGGTAAGCTCCTTGGTCCTTGCCGCCACCATCTGCAACCTGCCATTTTCGCTGGCTGAGGTGAGCGAGGAAGGATAAGTGGGTTTTGGGGAGAGGGGTATGGGGAAGGGGGAGGGAGACTGATGGATGTTTGAGTCTACCAAATTGCCGTACTCAAGCCGCTTGTCAAGGCGTCCCAAGAGAGGCTCGAGTCGACATCGAGACTGCCTCCTCCTCGCTCCTCTCCCACTCTCCCTTCAGCTCTTGGCTGCTTCTGTCAAGTGCTGACCCCACCGCCCTCTGGTGTACTGGCTGACTGGCTTGTATTCAGTGTTGACTTGTATCAGCCTTTCCAAATATCTCCTCTTTCCTCCCTCTGCCACTACCTGCAGGTGCTGATCTACGGCCCTCTGGTGTACTGGCTGACGGGCATGAGCGCAGCGGATGGCGTGTCCCACTTCTTCCTCTTCCTGCTGCTGCTGCTCGCAGTGGACGTCATGGGCGCCACGCTCATCCGCCTCATCGCCTCCGTCAGCACCTCCAGGGAGATGGCGTCAAGCCTCGCAGGTAAGGCAGTGCAGGTACTGTGTGTGAGCCGGCATTGCTACTGTCTTGCACATGCAGGTGCTATGGGTGAGCCATGCTGCTGGCAGGAGCAGTGGGTGTCATGGGCGCCATGCTCATCCGCTCCGCCTCATTGCTTCCGTCAGCACGTTCAGCGAGATGGCCTCCAGCATAGAAGGTACTGGCAGCCTCGCAGGTACTGCCAGCACTGCAGGTACTGCCAGCACTGCAGGTACTGCCAGCACTGCAGGTGACCCCCGTCTCCCCCTTCTTTCCAGGACTGGTCACCTTTCTGCTCTTCCCAGGCTTGCTGTGTTGAGTTGAGGCTCCTCAAGGCTCCCTCCATCTTAACCATCCGTGCCTTCCTCCATCCACGCCCCCTCACCCTCCTCTCCTCTTCCTGCCAGGTCTGGTGGTGATCACGTTTCTGCTCTTCACGGCTTCCTGCTGACCAAGCCCAACATCCCCGTGGTGGATCTGGATGTACTACGTCAACCCGCTGCAGTACGGCGTCACCGCCATCTGCATCAACGAGTTCTCTCGGGCTCCTACAACGAGGTCAGTGGTCCGTAGTGTGTTGTTGTGTGTATTGTGTGTAGCTTTGAAAGCGTTCAGTGCGTTACGCTGGCAAGGGGAGAAATGCTTTGGAAGCCCACCTGCCATTTCTGTTTGGAAGGGCTGTGCTGTGCAGTGGGTGGGGTGGGGGGGATGCAAGTGCCCTGCATCGTTGTAAGGTTGTATCTTCGTTACAAACCTCAAAGCTGTATGACAATCTCTGGCTACTCATACGCCTCCCTTTCCTCTCCTGGCCTCACTCTCTCCACCCCCCCATTCCCACCCCCTTCAATCCCACAACTGACACTCCCTCGCTCCCCCCGCACAGCCCTGCAGCACAGTCAACACCACTACTGCTGCCTTCTGGTCTCAACAAGCCTGGCAGCACCACAGCAGGAGAGGCCTTCCTACAGTTCTTTGGAATGCCTTCCTCCTTCAGGTGCCGTCTGGTACTCCCTTGCTGCTCTCCTGGGATTCACTGCGCTCTTCATCTCCCTCACCTTCCTTGCTGTTGCTCGTGTTCGGTTCAACGAAAATAAGATGCCGCCCGCCAGCCGCTGCCACCCCGGCCGCCCCAGCGGAACGTGTTTCAGAAGGCGGTGCGGGCGGTGAAGAAGCAGATGTCGTCAGAGGAGAAGGGGAAGGGGGAGGAGGAGGGGGGCGAGGCGGAGGAAGCAGAGGCAATGATCGAGAGGGGATGCCGCTGCTGCTGAGCCTGCTGCTGCTGATGGTGCCGCTGATGGTGCTGCTGCTGATGGTGCGGAGGAGGATGGAGGGACCAAGGCGGCCCCTCAGTCGCGAGTCAAATTCACTCCTACCACTCTTTCCTTCCACGACCTGCTCTATGAGGTGCGCAGCGTGCTTGCTAAGGGACACCTAGGAAACAGACATTTCTTCTCCAGTCAGTTGCGAGTGCAGTTCACTCCGACCACTCTTCTTGAATGGTCCTTCCACGGCCTGCTCTATGAGGTGCGCTCGTTTTGAGGTATGGAGAAAGGAGATTGTACTCGCGTGCTTCCCTCACTCTCGAGTGAAGTTCGCTTCGATCACTCTGGCCTTCCACTGCCTGCTATATGAGGCGAGCTTGTGGTTTCGGGGGCGCCTCAAGAGGACGCAGCGCAACTCAGCCCCCAATTAAAAGTCCACTCCGGCCACCCTGTCCTTCTTTGTCTCGCTCTATTATGTCAGAAGGTGCTGTTGCTGGTGCTACAGCTGGTACTGGTGCTGGTGCGTGACAGCTGGTGGTGGTGGTGGTGGTGGTGGTGGTGGTGCTGCTGCTGCTGCCGCTGCCGCTGCCGCTGCCGCTGCTGCTGCTGCTGCTGCTGCTGCGCCGCCGCCGCTGCCGCCGCCGCTGCTGCTGCTGCTGCTGCTGCTGCTGCTGCTGCTGCTGCTGCTGCTTCTGCTCCCGCTGCCGCTGCTGCTGCTGCTGCTGCTGCTGCTGCTGCTGCTGCTGCTGCTGCTGGTATTGCTGGTGCTGGTTCTGCATCGCCCTTTCAACAAGGAACGCTGTCTCACACCTTGTGCTGCTTCCTTCCATCCCTCTTCTAACTGCTCATCCCGCCCTTGCTCTGAAGCACCTGTGCGCCTGTAATCACCTCCCAACCATCTCTGCCACCTGCCCTTCCAGGGGGACAGCACCGGGCATGAGTTAGCCCAAGGTGCTTTGGGGCTCCTTACATCACATGCCACCTATCCTTGCGCCCACTATCCTACCCATCCCATCCCACCCCTTCCCACCACCTCTTCTCTCCCACCCCCCCTCCCCCCAGGTGGACGTACCGGGCATGAGTGAGCCCAAGGTGCTGCTCAACAGCGTGTCTGGCTTCGTGCGCCCTGGCACCATGACCGCCCTCATGGGCTCCTCAGGTATCTCTCCCATACACCCAATAGTGCGGGCGGGGTGACTATTGGAACGACTCATTAGTGCGCCCTGGCACCGTCAACGCACTCATGGGCTTCCCAGGTAAATTCTTTCCATGCACTCTCCTTTCCACTTGACCACTCCTCATCCCATTGCCCTCTCCCATTTTCCCCCTCATTCCGCGTACCTCTGTCTCCTCCCTGTCCATCCTCCCACCCTCTCCCCCCTTCCTTTCGTGCGCATAACCACTCATCCTGCTCCCTTGCCCTCCTCTTTCTTCCCCTCCCCCTGCTCGTTTCCCAGGCGCAGGCAAGACAACCCTGTTGGACGTGTTGGCGGGGCGCAAGACCATCGGGCGCACCCGGGGAGACATCCTGGTCAACTCCTTCCCCAAAGTGCAGGCCACGTTCGCCCGCATCTCCGGGTACTGCTGCTCATGCACTCGCCCTCTGCTCTCTAGCTTCGCTGCTCCTGCTCCCTTTCTGCTCCCTACCTGCCCCTGCTCTGCCCCGTCACTTCTCGGCCCGTCACCGCTCGGCCCCTTAACCGCTCTGCCCCTTCACCGCTCTGCCTCGCCTCTTTCACCCACTCTGCTGCCCGTGTGTGCTATCCCTCCTGTGCCGGCTACGTGGAGCAGAGCGACATCCACACGCCCTTCATCATCATTCAATCTACCTATATCCCCCCTCACCCCCACCCCCCTTCGCTTCACTTGTTTCTCCCCTTCTACCCCGCCTCCCCTTCCCTCACCCAGCTACGTGGAGCAGAGCGACATCCACACGCCCTTCATCACCATCCGCGAGTCGCTGCAGTTCAGCGCCGCTCTGCGCCTGCCCTCCACCACCTCGCTTGCTGACAGGGCGCTCGTGGTGCAGGAGGTGCGTTAGGGCGGCACGTGGGTGGAAAAGGTGTGGGTGTGAGTGTAAGGGCATAGGTGCACGGGAGGGATAGGTGTTTGTGGCACCGGGCATGCTGCTCTGCGCCTGCCCACCACCACGTTGCCTGCTGACAGGGCGCTCGTGGTGCAGGAGGCGAGACAGATGGTTCTGGTAGCATGGGTTGCATGAGTTCGGTCGCATTGGCATGGGTGCTTGGTTGGGCCGAGGTTGCTGCTGCGGCTCTGCGCCTGCCTCCGCCACCTCTGCTGCCGACAGGGCGCTCGTGGGGCAGGCGGTGAGGGTAATTGCGTGGGTGGCATGAGTAGTTGGGTGGGCCTAGGCTGCTGCGGTGCCCTGCCTGCCGCCACCTCGTCTGCAGACAGGGTGTGCATGGTGCAGGAGGTGTGTGCAATGGCATGGGTGGTATGAGCGGATTGGCATTGGCGCATGGATTCATGGGAGCATGGACGCATGGGGTGGTTGTGTGGTTGTGTGGTTGTGTGATTGTGTGATTGTGGAACAGAGAACGCGGCTCTGCGCCTGCCCGCCACCGTCTCGCCCGCTGACTGCGCGCTCGTGGTGCAGGCGGTGTGAGAGATGGTGCTGGTAGGTGGGTGGCCTCAACACTTCGACTCCCTTCTTGCTCCCCCCCCCCCCCCCCCTCTCCACCCACTTTTTCTACTTCCGTTGACTGCCAGGCCAGGCCATGGACTTCCTGGAGCTGCACAACATAGCAGACACGCTGGTAAGCGGGGCAGGCCCACACCTGCTCTCATCTTTCTCCTCTTTCCTTCCTTCCCTACCCACCCCCCTCCCCCTCCCCCCCCCCTTCCTCTCCCCGGCCAGGCCATGGACCTGCTGGAGCTGCACGACATAGCGGACACGCTGGTGGGGTTCATTGGCATCAACGGGCTGACAGTGGAGCAGGCGAAGCGGCTGACCATAGGCGTGGAGCTGGTGGCCAACCCCAGCGTCCTCTTCCTGGACGAGCCCACCAGTGGGCTGGACAGCCGCGCGGCTGACATTGTCGTGCGCGGGATCAGGAACATTGCTGGCACCGGGAGGAGGTGAGGGGGGGGAGAGGGGAGGGAGGGAGGGATGGGGGGAGGGAGAGGGGAAGGGAGGGGGGAAGGGAGGGCGAAATAGTTGGAGGGAGGGTGGCATGGAGGAAAAGGGTTTGGGGAGCAAGCAGCAGCTGTTGCTGACCAGGAAGGGTGGGTTCATTCCCTGTCAGAAGGCAGCATATTCTGAGATATAATAGCCCCTCGCTCCCCACCCTCTGTTCCCCCCCAACTCCGCTCTACTTTTGCCACCCACTCTGCACTATCTCTCATCCACTCTGCACTATCTCTCACCCACTCTGCCCTATCTCTCACCCACTCTGCCCTGTCTCTCACCCGTTCTGCCCTATCTTACCCACTCTCCTCCCCCCCCCCTCCCCAGCACCATCTGCACGATCCACCAGCCGAGCCGGCGGCTCTTCTTTGCGTTTGACTGGCTGTACCTCATGAAGCGCGGGGGTGAGGTCGTCTACTTCGGCCCCATCGGCCACAACGGCTGCGACCTCCTGGTGGGTTGCATGTGGTGCTAGGGGTTTGAATGTGGTTATTAGTGGGTTGTGGCCTTGCTGGCAGTTTACCCACAGTGTGTTAGTGGGTACCACTTCCTGCGGGCCACCGTGTTATGATGCATCGATTGCGGCACTTCACTGCGTCGCTGTGATCTCTGGATGAAGCATGCACATGCTAGTGCCTGCCAGCTTCGCTTTCACCCCTTCATGCATGCATGCATCCCCCCACCTTCATCTTCCACCATTCCCCCACTTAACTCCATACCAAAATCATCCATCCTACGCCGGATCCTCAAGGTGTGATGATTTTTTTTTTGAGTCGACTAAAAAATAGACTCATAACACTCTCTTAACTCCAAGCCAAAATCCTCCATCCTATGTCGGAACTATCTCCTCTCCCACACCCTCCACCCCTGCCCCCCCACCTCCCTTTCCACACAGAGTTACTTCGAGTCCCTGCCTGGCCTGCCCAAGTGCCGGGACGACCAGAACCCTGCCACCTGTAAGTGCACCTCCACCCCTCTACTCTCCCCCCCCTTTCCTCCCCTCCTGCACTCTTGCTCCCCATCTCCACCCCTCTCTCCACCCCTCTCCCTCTCCCCCCCCCAACCCACCCCTCTCTTCTTTTCTCTCCCAATCTGCCCCCTCCACCCAATTACCACCCTCACATTCCTCGTCAACCATAGGGAGCAGGTGCATACCCAAGTTCAGCTCTCCTCCTCCACCTCATTTCTTGCCCCACTCCTTCCCTCCACTCGTCCCTCTGCCCCTCCCCTCTCCCCCTCTCCCGCTACCCCCCCTCCTGGGTTATTCCATCACTGTCAACGTGTTGTGGCAGATATGCTGGAGATGATAGGGGCGGGCATTGGCCATGCGTCCATGCGCGACTTTGCGCTGGACTACGCTGAGAGTGTGCTCGCTGCAGACAACCGTGAGCTGCTGCCCTTGCTGCCATTGCTTCCTTCTTTGCTGACTGTGTGCCCATGCATCCACATGTCCACGCATCCACGTGTCAACGCATCCACGTGTCCACGCATCCACGTGTCCATGCGTCCATGCCTCCATGTGTCCATGCATCCATGCCTCCATATCCGTGCATCCATGCATCCATGCCTCCATATCCATGCATCCATGCATCCATGGAGGAATTTTCTCTGGTCTATGCATTGCTCCTTCGTGCTTCCTTGCTCATACTGCCTTGCTATTTTCCACTGCTCCTTGTTTCGTCTCTCTCTCATTGTTAACACTTCATAGTTCGTAAGATGTCCTTACGTCCTCCTCCATTCCCAACTGTCCACATGTTGCCACTCTCCTCTCCCCACTTACTTCCTACCCCCAGAGGACCAGCTGGACGCAATTCGCTTTGGCAAGGGCGACCACGGCCCCCTCTAATCCCCTTACCCACTCCTTCTACTCCCACGTTCTCCCCCCCCTCCTCTCCCGCCCTCCCGCAGAGGAGCAGCTTGACGCCATTCGCTATGGCAAGGGCGAGTACGGTCCTGAGCCGTCGGTGCACGGGTATGCGGCGTCGTGGGGCACGATGACGCGCATGGTGTTCCTTAGGCAGTTCCACACGTACTGGCGCAACGTGTCCTACAGGTGGGTTGGATCACTGGGTGCCATGCAGGTGGGTGAGTCGGTGCTCTCTCAAAGCACCCCTTCTGGTGCACATACGCGTCGAATGGGGCACGGTGACGCGCATGGTGTTCGTGCGCCAGGTCCACACGTACTGGCGCAACGTGTCCTACAGGTTGGTGGGTGCATGGGTCCGTGTGTGGGTGGGTGGGTCCGTGTGTGGGTGGGTGGGTCCGTGGGCCCGTGGGTCCGTAGGTGGATGGGTGGGTGCGTGGGTGAGGCACCTTACTTGCCTCGACGCATCACAAACAAGCATGTGGGCTTGAGCCCGTGGCAAATACTGAACATCTGTTGATTCGCTTTGTGCAGAGTGAGAGTGAGAGTGAGAGTTTAGCATCCCCCTCCCTCTCACCCTACTGCCCTCCCCTCCCCACCACCACAGCTTTGGGCGCATCATGTTCTCCATCATTCTTGGGCTCATTCTCGGCAGCGCCTTCTGGCAGGTGGGTTGGCGAGGGGGGGAAGGTGAGGGTGGGTGGGGTGGGGGAAAGTCGAAGGGGGGGGGAGGGGGGTATGGGAGGGGAGGTCTGATGGGATTATGGGAACATGCCAGAGGCTGCATTATGGAAGCATGGGATGAAACTACACATTGCATATGGGAGGATGTGCTACGTCTGTGATGCACTGCCACGTGGTGTGATGCACTGCCACGTGGGTGTGATGCACTGCCACGTGGGTGTGATGCACTGCCACGTGGTGTGATGCACTGCCACGTGGTGTGATGCACTGCCACGTGGTGTGATGCTGCACTGCCACGTGGTGTGGTGCACTGCCACATGGTGTGGTGCACTGCCACGTGGTGTGATGCACTGCCACGTGGTGTGATGCACTGCCACGTGGTGTGATGCACTGCCACGTGGTGTGATGCACTGCGACGTGGGTGTGATGCACTGCCACGTGGGTGTGATGCGCTGCCACGTGGGTGTGATGCGCTGCCACGTGGGTGTGATGCGCTGCCACGTGGGTGTGATGTACTGCCACATGGTGTAGTGCACTGCCACATGGTGTGCTGCACTGCCACGTGGGTGTGATGCACTGCCACGTGGGTGTGATGCGCTGCCACGTGGGTGTGATGCACTGCCACGTGGTGTGATGCACTGCCACGTGGTGTGATGCACTGCCACGTGGTGTGATGCACTGCCACGTGGGTGTGATGCACTGCCACATGGTGTGGTGCACTGCCACGTGGGTGTGATGCATTGCCACGTGGGTGTGATGCGCTGCCACGTGGGTGTGATGCACTGCCACGTGGTGTGATCCACTGCCACGTGGTGTGATGCACTGCGACGTGGGTGTGATGCACTGCCACGTGGGTGTGATGCGCTGCCACGTGGGTGTGATGCGCTGCCACGTGGGTGTGATGTACTGCCACATGGTGTGGTGCACTGCCACATGGTGTGGTGCACTGCCACGTGGGTGTGATGCACTGCCACGTGGGTGTGATGCGCTGCCACGTGGGTGTGATGCACTGCCACGTGGTGTGATGCACTCCCACGTGGTGTGATGCACTGCCACGTGGTGTGATGCACTGCCACGTGGGTGTGATGCACTGCCACATGGTGTGGTGCACTGCCACATGGTGTGGTGCACTGCCACATGGTGTGGTGCACTGCCACGTGGGTGTGATGCACTGCCACGTGGGTGTGATGCGCTGCCACGTGGGTGTGATGCACTGCCACGTGGTGTGATGCACTGCCACGTGGTGTGATGCACTGCCACGTGGTTCCCTGCCACATGGTGTGGTGCACTGCCACGTGGTGTGATGCACTGCCACGTGGTGTGATGCACTGCCACGTGGTGTGATGCACTGCCACGTGGGTGTGATGCACTGCCACGTGGTGTGGTGCACTGCCACATGGTGTGGTGCACTGCCACGTGGTGTGATGCACTGCCACGTGGTGTGATGCACTGCCACGTGGTGTGATGCACTGCCACGTGGGTGTGATGCACTTGCCACATGGTGTGGTGCACTGCCACATGGGTGTGGTGCACTTCCACGTGGTGTGATGCACTGCCACGTGGTGTGATGCACTGCCACGTGGTGTGGTGCACTGCCACATGGTGTGGTGCACTGCCACGTGGTGTGATGCACTGCCACGTGGGTTGCTGCACTGCCACATGGTGTGGTGCACTTCCACGTGGTGTGTGACCCTCTTCCTCCCCCAAGAGCTATACCCTCCTTGTACTGCCACACCTCCAGATCCTCAGGATGTTCCACCCCCAAACAAAATTGCACCGCCCTCCATCCTTTCCTCTCACCCCCGTGCTCTGTCTCCCTCTCACCCCTCTCTTCCCTCTCTTTTGTTCCCCATGTCGCTCCCCCCTGTCTTCCCCCCCCAGATCAACTACACCACCATACCCGGCTTCGCATCCCGCCAGGGCCTCATCTACGTGGCTCTGGTTTTCGTTGCTGTGGTCAACGCCAACAACGTCATTCCACAGGTACAGGGATAGAGTCACATTGATAAAGTCACATGGATAGAGTCACATGTCTCATGTCCTCTTGGTTACAGTTTCATCTCGCATGTCATGTTGCAGGTTCCAGAAACAGACCGTATGTTTCCCCATCCCGGCCAACATTGTCCCCTCCCCATTCCAGGTGAAAACGCCCAACATGTACTCTGCGTTGCTGTGATGTTGGAGTCAACTCAGCATCACTCCAACTCCCCTCATTACCCCATCCCACCCTGCCCCTTCCCCCTCCCCCCTCTCTCCTCCCCCCTCCCCTCTCCCTTCCCCTCCAGGCGAATAATGAGCGCCCTGTGTACTACCAAAAAAGGCGTTCAGCATGTACTCTGGGTTCCTGTGACATCTGAGTCGACTCATAAGAAACCTATAACTCCCCCCTTCCCCCCCATTCCCCCCACACAGGTGCATGCTGAGCGGCCTGTGTACTATCGGGAGAAGGCGTTCAACATGTACTCATGGTTCTGGTGGCGCCTGAGCCCCCCTCTCCCCTCGTCAGTCACCTAGTAGCCCCTTCCCCTCCTCCCTGGCTCCCCTCCCCCCCACACAGGTGAACGCAGAGCGGCCTGTGTACTACCGAGAGAAGGCGTCCAACATGTACTCTGCGTTCCTCTACAACCTCTCCTGGGGACTCATAGAGGTGCGTGGGGAGAGGGGGGGAGAGCAGGGGAAGAGGTGGAGAAGGGCGCAGAGCAGACAGGCTTGTAAAAGGAGTGTGGGTGGGTGTTCCAGCAGCGGTTGGCTAGAGAGAAAGCATGCAACATGTACTCTGCGTGCCTTTACAACCTCTCCTCCCCGGGAAGGGACTCATAGAGGTGCGTGGGGGAAGGGTTTAAGTAAGCACGCTTGAGATCAGATGACAAAAAGCAAGTTGCCTCGAGTCGACTCAAAAGTCCCATCTCGGTCAGTGCCCTCTCCCAAAGCCCCATCTTCTGCCTTTCCTAACCAGCTCATTTGTCCGCCCTTGCCTCCCTTCCCTCCCCCCACTCCTCCCCCCCAGATGCCCTACCTGGCGCTGACGACGCTCATCTTCTGCAGCATCTGCTTCGGCATGGCGGGCGTGGCCACGGGCAGCGCTAGCGACTTCTTCCTCTTCTGGGTCAACTTCTTCCTCTACTCCGCGTGCATCACCTACTATGGCATCTTCATGGCCATGCTCACGCCCAACGCCGAGGTGGGTGCATGTGCTGTGATGTGTTGGCTAGTTGGTGCTCTGGGTGCGTATATGTGTGCAGTCATGTTTTTCTCCCCTTCCTTTCAATTCTTCCTCTACTTCGCATGCATCACCTATTATGGCATCTTCATGGCCATGCTCACGCCCAATGCTGAGGTGGGTGCATGCGTGTTGATACGTGGGTACTCTGGTATGTGTGTGTATGTGTGCGGGCGGGCACGTGTTTGTCCTCCGCTCCGGATGCATCATGCACTGTAGGATGTTTATGGCCATGCATCCATGCTCACGCCCAATGCTGAGGTGGGAGCATGCGTGTCAGTGAATTGTAGGTTGGTGGGTTGGTGCTATGGTGTGTGTTTATGTGGGGGCATACACGTGCTCTTCCTCTAATGAGTCAGCTTCTTCCTCTACTCTGCATGCGTTACCTACCACAGCTACCACAGCATGTACACGTAAGTGAGATCCCACGGACCTCCACCCATTGCAGGCAGAGCTGCAGGATGATGACTCACCCTGTCCTCCCTCTCCCCATCCCTCATCCCCCCACCCCCATCCATTCCCCCCCTCCAGACTGCCACTGTGATCATCCCCATGTAAACATCTGGAACATCACATCCGGCTTCACAATCCCCAAGGCCCACATCCCCAGCTGCTTCTCCCTCCATTTGAACCCTCCATTCTCCCCCCTTTTCTCCCCCCTTTCTCCCCCCTTTCTCCCCTCTTTCTCCCCTCCTTTCCCCCCCTTTCTCCCCCCTTTCTCCCCCCCTTTCTCCCCCTTTTCTCCCCCCCTTTCTCCCCCCTTTCTCCCCCTCTTTCTCCCCCCTTTCTCCCCCCTTTCTCCCCCCTTTCTCCCCGACCCCCCTTCCAGACGGCCACGGTGATCATCCCTGTGATAGTAAACATCTGGAACATCACCTCGGGCTTCATGATCCCCAAGACTGACATCCCCAACTTCTGGGTGTGGCTGTACTACCTCAACCCCACCCAGTTCGCCCTCAACTCCCTCCTCTCCGTAGCCTTCTACTGCGACACCACCACTCCCGGTGCCCCTTGCTCCCCTGCCGGCTGCTCTAGCAACCCGGCTGCTTGCCCCAGCTGCACGTGTGCTCGACTGTCGGACCAGGGGAATGTGCTGGTATGGAGTGTGGCAGAACCGCAGCGGTCACTGAACAGGGGCAATGTGGGATACAATGTGCTCGCGCTGCTGGCTTTTATTGTCGTGTTCAGGGCGGGGGCGTATCTCGGGCTGCGCTTTATCAAGTATAACCGGCGCTAGGTGGGGCGCTGGAGTGGTGTAGTAGTAGTGGTGTAGCTGGTCCGGTGGATGTGGGATCGGGAGGTGCGTGGGGATTGGAGTAGAGTAGGTGTGGAAGGGTGGGCATGGCTGTCTGGACAAGTGGACTGGGGTCTATGGCTGGTCAAAAGGTTTACGTGCCTCATGGAAATAAAGCTTAATATATCGTAGTTGCTTTGTTGATAGGTTGACTGGGCTGTAGGAACACCAATATGGCAATCAGTGTGCACCTTGTTTCCATTTATTAGAACCAGTTAGCCCTCCCATCGTAATCCTCTATCTAGGCCAACTTGTATGGTTTAAACTTTGCATGCATGTGTGGATATACGCCCACCCTTGTTTGGCTGTTCATGCCACGTACAAAGGGTACGTACGAAATAAGCAGCAATAATAGAAATTTATACCACCAATCGGAAGCAGAGAGTATCTACAACATAACATAAATCAACCAGATGCACGGATTCATGTGTGACTGTTGGCATGGATGGGAATAGCTTACCGTATTCCCCCGGATAAAACACCCGCTGGAATTAATCACCCATGGGTGGTTTGGGCGGACCTGGGTGCTTTATTAAACTGGATATTCATACCACCCTAGTTTTTGGCATGAAACCTATACACCACCCCCCTGGTTCATTTTCACTGTATTTCTTTAGATTTTGCCTCTTATCAGAGTGTATCAGACTCGAGCGTCACTGAGCAGTGCAAGCTCGACGCGAATTGGTTCAATGCGGTGTAGAACCAGGGGTGACTTTATCAGACTATTTACTCTGATTAGTCTGAAATCTCAGACCGGTGTAATTGTCAACTTATACATATTATCTATGTAGAAGTTATAGGCTAGACTGAGGTATGCTTCTAGTGAGTACAACCAACTAGTATTTGTTCTAGGTTTCCACTTCTAGTAATCATTCGTTCTCACTTTGACATGGTATCACGCGTAGGTTAGCATCCCCCACCTACCGCTTCCGCCCGTACCCTAGCTAGGCCACGTCGCGCCTCCTAGCCCCGTCGCGCCTCCTAGCCACGTCGCCCCCCCTCCTGGGCCACGTCGCGCCACCCTAGCCCCGTCGCGCCACCCTAGCCCTGTCGCGCCCCTCCTGGGCCCCGTCGCGCCTCCTAGCCCCGTCGCGCCCCTCCTGGGCCCCGTCGCTCCACCCTAGCCCCGTCGCGCCACCCTAGCCCCGTCGCGCCCTGCCTAGCCTCGTCGCGCCCGCTCGGCCTCGTCGCGCCCTGGCTGGCTCCGTCGCGCCCGCCTGGCCCCGTCGCGCCCTGCCTGGCCCCGTCACGCCCTGCCTAGCTCCATCGCGCCCTGCCTGGCCCCGTCGCGCCCGCTCGGCCCCATCGTGCCCTGCCTGGCTCCGTCGCGCCCACCTGGCCCCGTCGCGCCCTGCCTAGCCCCGTCGCGCCCTGCCTGGCCCCGTCGCACCTGCCTGGCCCCGCCGCGCCTCCCTGGCCCTGCCGCGCCTGCCTGGCCCCACCGCGCCTGCCTGGCCCCGCTGCACCTGCCTGGCCCTGACGCGCCTGCCTGGCCCCGTCGCGCCCTGACTGGCTCCGTCGCGCCCGCCTGGCCCCGTCGCGCCCTGCCTGGCCCCGTCGCGCCTGCCTGGCTCCGTCGCGCCCTGCCTGGCCCCTCGCGCCCGCTCGGCCCCGTCGCGCCGTGCCTGGCTCCGTCGCGCCCGCCTGGCCCCGTCGCGCCCTGCCTAGCCCCGTCGCGCCCTGCCTGGACCCGTCGTGCCTGCCTGGCCCCGCCGTGCCTCCCTGGCCCTGCCGCGCCTGCCTGGCCCCGCCGCGCCTGCCTGGCCCCGCCAGCACCTGCCTGGCCCCACCGCACCTGCCTGGCCCCTTTGCCCCGGCTCGTCCTGCCGTGCCGCCTCGGGCTCCGTCTCCTCTGCTCGCCCGTGCTGAGGCGCTTTGCGGCCGCCGTGCTGGAGGGGGCAGTCGCTGTGTTCCTGCGTCGCTGTGTTCCTGTGGAGCTGTGCCGCTGACCCTGCACGATGGCGGACTTCGTGCTCTGACTGGACGCCGAGAGCCATGCGGTTGACTTCGCCGCCTGGCTCTCCGATCTCCGCCGCCACCTTACAGGTCAGCGCCAGGATGGCCACTCTTTGGTTGTCCATGTCGACGGCTTGCTCCCCCGCCCCCCCGCACCTGATCCCCTCCCTGCTGATCCCTCCTCTGATGACCGTGAGACCTTCTCTACTGCTGCGCTTGCCCGTGCGGTCTGGGACTCCCGCGATGCAGTCGCTCAGGTTGCCATTAGCCACGCCCTCCCTGTCTCTGAGCGCTCGCGTTTTGCTACTATTGAGACGGCCAAAGCTTACTTAGACGCTGTTATTGCCCGCTATTCCACACCCGCGTCTGCTTCTGCTGGTCGCCTGCTCTTCCCTATGCTTTTCCCAGACCTTGCAGCTTTCCCTACCGTCGCAGACTTTGCCACTCACCTGCGTGCCCTAGAGACCCGCTATCGCACTGCCAGCACTGCCGCCCAGCTCACTGCGCTCCCCCCCCTTTTCTGCATGACGCTCTATTTTATCGCCATGCGCCGGCCAGATCGCCTCGCTAGTGCTCGCGATCACTTTCTTAGCCAGCACCCGGGTGACCTCACTCTCACTGCCTTTGTCGACACCCTCACCGAGATCGAAACTCGCCAGCGCACTATCGCTCAGTCGAGCGGTGCGCCGGCAGTTTCTATCTTTCACGGTTGTGCCCCCTCCAAGTGTGCGTTCACTGACGTTTCGGCTGCGGTCGCCTCGGCGGCCCCTCTCACCGAGACGGCTGGTGCGGTCCACCCGCAGCAGCGCTCGCGCCGCGGTGGCCGTGGTCGCCAGGGGGGTAGGGGTGGTGGTGGCAGTAGTGGTGGTGACGGTAGTCCGCCTGCGGGGACTACCACTGGTGGGCAGGAGCAGAGCCCCAGCCGCAGCCGCCGCCCAGCAGCAGTCACGCCCTGGCAGCAGTCGCCGCAGCAGTGGGCCCGTCTCCCGCCTGGTTGGCCCGGCACCTCTGGAGGTAGTGGCCGTGGTGGCGGCCCGCGCAGCTTGGCGTCTACCGGCGGCTCCGGTGCTGTCACCTGCCAGTACCAGCTTCAGACCGGGCCTCTTCGCGGCACTCTGTGCCGCCGCCCGCACCCGACCGCCCGCTGTTTCCGCCGCCTCGACGATCTCTTTCGTCGTCGCTTTGGCCCGGCCCCGGACCTTCCCGACTGGCACAGCCTGCTCCGCCAGGGCGTGCCGATCTTTGAGTTAGACATGGATCAGCTAGGTGCTGCTTTGCATGCTTTGTATTCTGACGCTTCTAGTTTTGCTGGATCTTATTACCCTGTGTACTCTAGTTTAGGTGTTGCACCACTGTGTAGCTTAGCCTCCCCTGCTGCGTCAGGCGTAGGACTGCCTAGGTTGCCTAGTCTAGTCGCTGCACCGGCTCCGTCCCCGGCCTCCGCCACTGCGTCGCTGTCCTTCACTCTCGACTCCGGTGCTTCTGCCTGCTTCTTCCGCGACCGTTCCACGCTCACGCCGCTTGCTGCACCTGCTGTTGTCTCTCTCGCTGACCCCTCTGCGGGTCCTGTCGTCGCGCGCAGTTCTACGTCCCTTCCCTGTCCGGCAGTTCCCTCGGGCTCCCTTACTGGCCTCCACGTTCCCTCGTTCTGAGGAACCTGGTTGGTGTCGCTGTCTCCAGGACCTCGGCGTCACCACCACGTTCCCCGGGC